CTTCCTGGTCAGAAAAAAATTCTCTAAATGCACACCAAATGTGTAAAAATGCGCACATTATGGCAAAAATTATTCATCATTAAATCTTGTTTTAACATTACTTTTATAAAGTTTGAAGTCCGTGCTGTCCAATCCAGCTCAAATGAACACTGAAAGCTCTCACTGTTTTTTACAGAAGCCCTGTGAAAGCATCACTGCTTTGCCGATCTCAGAGGATTAAAAGAAAAAAAGAATCCTGTATCCACATCGTGATTCGAAACATCACCAAAATGTAATGGTGTGTTACTTGGCCCAGTACACATGTGGTAACTATGTCATGACAATCCGTCCACAAGTTTTTGAATAATGTTGTCCACAGACAGAACGACAGACAGACAGACAGACATATGCGACTGAAAACATTACCTTCTTGGCGGAGGTAATCTAAAATTATTAGTTCATGTGTATTTCTTATGGGTGCACCTCCTGTTCTGCCCCAGGTTATGTCTTACCTCACCTGCTCTAGTCTGCTCCCCTTTAATACATGTACTAAAGCATAAAATCTGCATAATGCATTCAGTGTTGTTTTGTTTTCAGTGAAAGGCTCCCACACTTCTCAATGTCGATGTTTTGTTTTTTGCCCACCTCCTTTCCCCTTCTATGTGTTTTACCATAAATTTGTTTTTGGTGTTCTTTCAGCTTTCTTTCTTCCCTTCCTCTATCTCACTGACATTCTTCTTTGTTGGTACAATTGTGTGTAGTGTTAGCACATAGAGACAATTCTGGCTCAGAGATGTTCCTGCATTGTACCACAGATTAGTAATCGCACGGATTACTAATCTGTGCGATTACTAATCTGTGCCCTCAGTTTCTGCAATCAGTGCGCACAGATTGTGTCGACAGGTTGGACGCATGGTACGTGTGGTACAATCTGTTTTGTTGTATCCGGTTTTATTGTGAAAGGCTAAACAGGAAGTGAATATTGTGAGTGCGGAGACAACTTGATGTTTCTGTGTTAGGTCTCGCTTGAATCTTTTCCTCAGAATACAACCGTATGAAGCCGCATCTTCAAGGTAAATTCAGTGGATCTGTTGTTATATAAACTTAAGGCACTGTCGTGTTCTCATCAACACACTTTTTAGCCACAGAATGTCCCTGAAAAATTCATCAAAATCCGACGTGGTTACAGTATTTATTTATTTTTCATATTTTCCAGGCAAATGAATCCTGAAACGGAGGTTAGCCTCCTCCACCCTCCCGTCCCCCGTTTTGTTGTGAAAGAGAATAAACATCTGTCAGAGCGGCTTGCTGCAGAGAAATGTCCGCGCGTGGCGAGCTTCATGCAGAAGACGGAGCCGCAGCCCCGCTCTTACTCTGAAATGTTTCAAAATTTATTCAGATGTTTCTGTGGTGTAATAAACGTTTTTGAAAGGGTAATAAACGTTTTTGAAAGG